AAACACCCACCCGATTAGTCCTCGGTCTAGTCGCCTCTACAGCCTTTAATGGTAGTTACACGAAAAACCCCTTCAATTTTCAACATTTTCACTTGACATATTTAAATGTAAGCGTTGATGGACGATCGTTATCGGGAAAACCACTGGTCATGGACTTTGATAGGAATCAAGCCATTAGAGCATTTTTCAATAGTAACCTCTCTCTGGGTATGGTTGGAAAAGATGCTGGGAATGGGATAGACTATAAACACTTTAAGAACGGCTATACCTTGTTTGCTTTTGATTTAAGCCCCAGTCTTTTGGATGGTGAACAATTTGAATTGGCTAAATCTGGACCTGTTTCTATTGAACTTAAATTTTCACAAGTTACAACTGAACCGATTCAAGTTATTGCGTACGCTGAACTAGATTCGGTGTTAGAAATTTCAAAAACGAGACAAGTGTTGACAGATTACACCGCCTAAAGCGTCCTATAAACGAAAATGAACACAAGAGAACTACAAAGTATACTGGCCGCAGACTTATTTGTACAACGCACAAATCTCTTTGCTGTTTTAGCATGTGATCAGTTACCCGCACGTATCGATAGAACGAAGCAAGCGGCGTTCATTATAAATTTAGATTCGTCCAAGGATGAAGGCAGCCACTGGGTTGGTCTTTTTTTCAATGGTCTATCGCAATTTACTTATTTCGATAGTTTTGGATTACCACCGCGTGAACCCGCCATTTTGACTTTTATAAAAAATAATTCAAACAGACCATTCGTTTACAATTCAAGAGTTTTGCAAGACATTGTAACCAACAGCTGTGGATTATACGCAGTTTATTTTGTTTTGAAGAAAGTTCGGGGAGCTAGCCTAAAACTTATTCTCCACCCTTTTTCACCGTCACCGGCTCGACAATATATTAACGATCGACTTATATCACGTTTAACACTTGCACTTATTGGGACTACTTATAAACGTTTATTTCGGCGCTTTCAAGATGTCTAGTGAAGATTGGTTACTTGTCGCCCGGAATAGTAATAAAGTGACGGAAATACGAACGACGAATGACAGTGGTTATAAAGTAGCTATCGTTAGTCAATTCATGAACAAAAACACTTTAAATCTTAGAGATCTTATGGATGGTACAGATCTTAAATTTCCTAATAATTCTGGAATAAATCTCTCTCGTATAGCCTTTGAACGTTTACTCGCCCTGAGATATGATATTTTAAAAGCGTTTGATGACTTGGAGAAAGTTGAAATAAATTCATAAAATATAAGAAGTCTTTTGTTGTGCTATAAGTTGTGTGTAAGTTGTGTGTGTGTGTTTGTGTGTAAATAAACGGCCAGCCATAAACACAACAACCAAGTAGAAACCAGGAAGGGGGGCAATAACCGCCTCGGGTGTTGGCACGTGATGTATCTCTTTATATTAAGACGAGTAGAATTCGACATCCACCAGGCCTATTCAACAAAGATTTTATACGGTCAACATGTTTAAACATGACTTTTAAAAAAAAATCGATAGTAAAGGCGCGTGAGTTGGATTAGACAATGGGGTACAGCACCTGCCTTTGTGTATGACGCGAGTAGCGGCGCACAAAAGGACATGGTCACACAGACTTCAGACAAAGGGAGAATGAGATTGCAACACACAAAGGGAAGGGGTACCACCTGCTACCACCTCCCCCACCCGACCCCGGGTTTCACCCGCGTCACCCCCACCCACACCCTCACTGGAGGGTGGTGAAATACTATTTTACGATATACTGTTAAAGCCGGACTGTCGTCCAGGTCAATAAAAACAACCAACAAATGGGCAACTGGTCAACAACCGATAAACTGATCATCTGGTCAACTACTGGTCAGTTGGTCAACAAAATGTATAAGACCATTAATAAAACAATAGCTCAAGTGGTCAGTTGGTCAACTGGTCAATATATCGATCAATTGATCAAAACAATAACCTCCTCCTCCTCTATGATAATCGTTTTGGTCAACAAGTGGTCAAGTGGTCAACATACCGATCAAAACAATAACCTACTAGTCAAAATAATCAACAGTTGTTTAATGAACAATCAACAACGGGCTAAAAAATCAATAGTTGGTCAAAAAACAGGAACACAAATCAACAGGTGGTCGAGAATCAATCAATAACGGTCAAAATATGCAACAGGTGGTCGAGAATCAATCAATAACGGTCAAAATATGCAACAGGTGGGCAAAAAATCAATCAATAACGGTCAAAATAATCAATCACTCCTCCTCCTCCTCCTCCTCCCCCTCGCCTCCTCCTCCTCAATAATACCCAAAGGGGACCTACTATACTACTCATGTCCCGAATCCGCGACATCGTTCATTTATGGACCAAACAGTAATTAATTTTTTTAGACCGTTTAATTTTTACTTACACGTTTTTCTCTAAATATCCACACACAAACAATAGAATATCACAAAATACACATATGGACATGCAAGGAGATGTAGACTCACTTGTAAAATTTATGAAAACTATAGTTTTAGTTATTCGAGCATAAAGTTACACAACTCTGCTGAACCTGCTCAGAGTATACCACAAATGAATGGGTACTCTGAAACATTGCTGTCGTGGTTCTACTACACTACAGAAACACACTACATATAAAATGACTTCCTTAATCTGTATGGCCTTAGTTGTCCCTGGTTACGCCCTTTTCGTGAATTCCATTTCAGGGTCAACTGATCAAGAAGCATATATCTCATTTTACCTATGTTTGCTATTCATACAAAGCACGTGAACAAATACTGTTCTAAATGACAGTGTTCAGCCGTTGTATATTCTTCAATGCTTGATGTGGGTACTTAGTGCCACTGGTGTGAGTACTCACTGCTATTGTTGATCGTACTTAAAGGTTTCTGATTTTTGTACAAAGTGCTGTGTTGTTGTACTCGAATGATACTGCTATGGATAACAAATGACAGTGCTGTAGATACACATTGCCACTGCTTTGGGCATTTAGTGCTGAAACAGTGGGTACTGGGTGTTGAAGCTGTGGATATTCATTGTTAAAGCTGTTGGTACTTAGTGTTACTGCAGTCGGTTCTTGGTGTCCCTGGTGTGGGTAATCAGCGCTAACGCTGTTAGTAATCGATAACATTGCTTTGGGTACTTAGCAGTGGGTACTCAGTAGCACTGCTGTGGGTACTTAGTGTGAAATCGTGGGTGTTCAGTGTCACTGACGTTGGTACTCAGTGATGAAGATGTGGGTACTCAATAACACTGCCGTCGGTATTAAATACCAGTATAATGCCAGTGATGTGGGTACTCAATAGTACTGCAATAGTTACTTCCCTCCGTACTCAACCTCACTGTATTTATCACGATATTTAAGCCAATGCTAATTGTAATTATTGTCAAGGTCACTGTGAAAGCCTATATTTGAGGGTATCGAGGATAGTGGTCCACCTCCTCACTTCCTGTTATCTAATGATTTTTTATGTTCTCCTAATATTTTACAATGATATTTCAAAGCTAAATTCGTTATATTATATCCAGCAGCATGTTCATATTATTCCAATATCGCGCTCTCTCCCCATACGCCAAGGTCAATGAAACAGGTGAACTCTACTTCACCTGCCGCATGAACCCTAAGGTCCTTATATATATATGCGAAGACTATTTTGTAAATCCTTTACTTATTTATAATCATATTTGAAGAAATAACAGCATGGCGAGGAATCTTACTTCGTTATATATGCTTAGCACCCAAGTACCATTTTATGTCTTATTGCAGGATGTCGCGAAAACGCGACAGTCCGTAATCAGAAGATCACTTCCTAAATTATGTCCATGTGTGATTTATACTGTTTATATACATAAAAGAGTGAATAATAAAGGAATTAGTATTTTTTTGTAGCCAAAATGGACCACCTATTTAGTAATAACAACCAATGTAAGTCATAAATTTCGACTTGACAACGTGACCATTGGTACCGATACGACCGTCTGTATGTACCCAATACACAAAAACCGGCAGCAGTAGGATAAATGTACTTATGCGCTATTCGAAAAATCGGTATGTCGCGTTAAGGGGGTTAAAAGTGTTTCACTATTGAGTTTATTATTTTATTTTGTACTTTTGGTGCAATATTACACAAAAGCTCCTGTTAACTTAAACGCCAGGGCGCCGGTGGATGAGCCTGGTGCAGTTTTACCGTTGAATCAAGTAGTACCCCAGACATCCTTGACTGGACACTAAATAAACAGATAACAAGTGCTAGTACAGCCGCTTGAGTACTATGGGTGCCAAACCTCATTTAACTTTTATTTTCATATAATATAAATACAATATATAGCATCCTCTCTTGGCGCTGCCTGTAAAAACGCTTTTCCTTATAGTGGTTCATTATGGAACGATGCTAGATTTTGCAATTTTTGTTCGTGTCTGTTTGTGTGTATATAAACACGATAACATTAGAACCGTTTTAGTTGACTTTTTCAGTTGATAAATTTCATTTATACGTTTGACATCAAATTTGTAGTTTTCTATTAAAAAAGTGGCATATTCCGGTAACCGGAAATAGTACTTAATCTTCTTCCAGTTGAAAAAAGCCAATAACTAGACTTAGGCTATGTTTTACTAACGCCTATTGCATTATACACACGGGTTTCTATGAACTTCTGGTCAACATATGTTTACAAGTTTAAGAGAAGACCAGTTTTTTTTATTAAAAAAAGGGGGGGGGAAGGGTTTAATTCGTCTCTATACAATAGTTCTCCCATGTCCCCTATAATTATTGCAGTTGAAAAAGTTTATTAATTTATCAATAGATTAGTTCTTATTTTTAAAAAGAGTAGTAATAGTACAAGTGATTATAACTATTGTCTGAAATTTATATTCCGTCTCATCTTTAGAAAAAAAACATGCTTTGCACACCTAAGCTGAAACTTTAGAAAAAATTGTGTGTCGCATCCAGTAAACAGCACCCGTGTTGAATGAGGAAATTAAATTTCATGTTTTAATTTTAAAACGCTGTAGGCCTAATAGAATATCTTGTTATTCAAATATTCTTATACAAGCAATATACCGGCCTTATAGCTTACTGATTACTAGATCTATATATTTATTGTTCAGATCTTATATCTCTTTGCTTAGTTAACAAGAAAAGGTTAATTGTTATCTTTAATATTTATGAGTGTATAGTGTATGGTAAGTTACAATTTAAACCTTATGTTTTTTTTTTCAATTTTAACGAAAGAAAACAAATACACACATAAATAACTTAATTGAATAAATTTATTACCAGTTAAAAATAGTGGATTATGGAAAAGACAACACAAGTAATATATTTGATATTGTTTTGTCTACTTTTATTGAATCAGCTAAAAATATAATTTAATATGTATTTTCTTGTATCGGTATACTAATTGTATTACTTACATAAAGATTACATATATCTATCCCCTCACTTATAGCCCCTCCCTAAAATCTCAAACATTTCCTTTATTGAAGTAGCAATAAAAAAAAAGCAATTGAGATTACCATTTTAATTTCTACATGAAAACTGTTTTAAATAAGTAAGTTCTACTTTAGTCGTTAACCACTTCCTCGCCATCTATTTCCATGTTGGCCTAGTTAAAAAATCTTCAGTAGTTTAAAAAACCACACATGGAGCTGCGCTTTGTGTCACGGCTTTATAAATAAAATATAAAAATAATAATTATTGTAAAAAAAAAAAAAATGAATGAAACGAATTTGCTTTTATCGATGAAAACATTTCCTTCTAAAATATGTTACATATTTAAAAAGAAATAAATAATTTTAAGATAAAAAAAAAGTTTCATAATTTCCTTTTTTAAATTGTAACTTTAAAAAAAAAACTTTTTACTAATTCGTTAATAATGGAGTCGACCCCAAATACGACTTAAAATATGATATAACCTTATAGTTAGACTGCGTTCTCCAACAGAAAGTGTATTTGACCCTTTATAGTCTGTAGTCGCCTCGCAGTCAAAAAAAAAATCAGCAGTAATAACTTTTTTTAGTGTTCCTCTAGTGATCAGCACTTGTATTTTGTCTTTTTATCCCCCCCCCTTTATTGTTGGAATTTACTAATGTCTAATTAGATTGAAAATGAGATATTATTACTTTGTCATTTGAAAGTAATTTATCTGAAAATTTTAATCGACATCGATGCTTTAGAAAATTGTTACATCGAGATACACGGTTTGCAAAAATCCAGAATAAAAGAAACACACGTGCAAGAATTGTAGACAAAAAAAAAGCTTATAAAAAATCTAACCTATTTACATTTTAGCTTTTTAACTTTAAAATATCCACGAAAAAGCAAAATTTACGTGCGCTCAGATAAGGAAAGTACATTCACGTTTGACTGAATTATTTTAAAAACAAAATGTATTCATTGTAGTACTTACAACCAATACTTTTAAACATTTTAAACCTTATTTTCAGATGCTTTGCAGATTCTAAGTTTAAATTCGATAATGGATTTTGAATATGACAGTTCTCAAACTGTTCTGAAAAACACAGAAAAACTTCTGTTGGATAATATTTTTTTGGATTTTACTGTCAAGGTTGATGACGTTTCCTTGCCATGTCACCGTATTTTTCTGGCAGCGTCGTCACATTTCTTCAGAGCACTTTTAATGACAGACATGAAGGAGGCTAAAGAGGGTTGTGTAACGATCAATGGGATTTCTCTTAACACATTTCAACATATTTTAAAGTCAATGTATACTGGAAAGGTACCTTTGACGAAAGATAATTTTATAGACATCTGGTATGCAGCAGATCAACTACAGATAGACTTTATTGTTACACACTGTGAGGATTTCGCTGCAAAGGCCATTTCTGTTGAAAACATTGAAAGCGTTGTGAGTACAGCTAAAGCTTTTAAATCCGAAAAAGTGTTGAATGCTTCAAAATCTTTTATGTTAAATAACTTTGGCATACTTATGAACGACAAGCCTATAATGGAGCTCGAAGTTAAAGATTTCAATGAATTGATTGATTCACGGGATCTCAAAGTAGAAAACGAAGACTGGGTCATGCAAACAGTGCTAAAGTGGGTGGAGTATGTACCAGAAGAAAAATACAGTGGTGAAAAAGAAGACATTCTTACTGACATAGAACATAACACTTCAAAAGAAAATAGTTCTAATAATGAATCTGGTAAAAGTCTTATTGCAGTCCATAAACAAACGTTGAATAAAATAAGTCACAGAACTCATGCCTTGACAACATTATTGAAGTCTGTGAGGACGTGTCTTGTGAGTACACCACTTCTGAAACATCTGCTAAATCAGCAATTGATAATCAACAACAAAGAAGCTGAGCGTATTTTAATGGATGCGGTTTTGTATAAGACAACACATTATAACCACGGACAATGGCGAACAAGTGCCATACATCGAGCCTGTAGTATATTGGAGCATTACGGTATTGTGTATATAATAAATAGTAAATTTAATTGTGTCTGTGCATATGAAGATGAGCTTTACAAATGTGTAAGCTGTAACGATATACCTCTGGACGTAACTTTAGTTGTGTTTGACTCTTATCTGTACGCCAGTGGTGTTAAAGACGTATCTCAAACAAACAGCTCTCTGTATGTTTTTTGTAGAAACGTGTGGAACAAAATCACTGAAATACCAGGACGGCAGTTAATTTTAGTGCCATATGAACAGTGTATCTTTATTCTTAGTAAATGTTCTAGTGAAATTTGTCAATTATACCCTAAATGGGGTAAACCAAAAGTTAAAGAATTTTCAAAGCTACCAGACACAATAAAAGTACAACATGCTACAACTTATCAGAGGACGATTCTGATTTTCAGTTCTGTTACCGTCAATAATAAGGAGAAAACTGCAGTTCATCAACTGGACATTTTAACAAAAAAATTAACAGAGTTAGAACAATTGAATGGACCAGCTGAACAGATAATAAGTTTCAGTGATGACTACAATATTTACGTTTTACAAACTGTTGGAGATTTGTGGGTTATAAACTGTTTAGTTGAACCAGTCACATTCAAATTGTTGGGAAGGTTATGGACTATTAAGAGAAAGTTGTACGGTGCATTGACATACAAGAAACAGTTGACTATCTTTGGCTCTGACCCCAACACAGAGTCGACTGATCAAAAACGGCTGCGTTCGTTTAAAGAGTACTTTACCCACATACAATACTGGGGAATCGATAAACCATGTTCAAATTTTATAGCAGCTACTCTACCGAAAGATGGAATGGTGCTTATCTGAAAATAAGTACAATGTAATAATATGAATGGTTATTGCATTTTGGAAAGGGTTTGGGAGTGAGGTTAAGGTCTGTGCTTTTTTAGGGTAGACAAAGTTACTAGTTATTTTTTTACGTTACAAATGATTAACATTTTCACTTTGTTTATATTAGAACTGGATACATTTGGACTAAAAAAAAAATAGCACATTGATCGGGTGGAATTTAAGTAAATATTGCTTTTTTTGGGCGCAGCTGACCGTAAACCTACCCATATATGAACATTATTTTATTAGTGCTTCCAACATAGGTATAATTAAAAAAAAAATAAAGATTAAAATATTCCAGGCTGTAAACTTGAATAATGTAAAACAAACAAAATACTCGATCATTGATACTTTCAACTGGTCAACATTCATAGGACAAAAAGAATATTAATGGCATTCTCAGAATTTTACGTTAAAGAGAATCCTCTACGTGTTGGGATTATTAGTTGGTTATCGCACATCTGCTGGAGCAATATGCGCACAACAGCGAGAGGCGGCAATAGAAAATTTGAAGTCGCTCTAAATAATCATTTAACACATCAGGGAGGAGCGGTCCAGTGTGAGAATGATGGCTAATTGTGATGTAACAGTACTTATTAAGTAGACCAACGCCAAAAGAATCTATGTTTGTTTAGGTTTTTTTTTAATTTTTTTAATTTAAATATCTAATTTATCAGGATAGTTTTATATTGCTTTGATATATTTTTTCATTTTTTTTTCATTTTTATTTTTAAGAGGTTAGCTTTAAATATATTTTTTACTAAGAGCAGGTTATATTTTAAATTTATTTTATCTCCTATTTTTGGTAATTGAAAATAGCGTTTAAAATGTTTATACTGGTGATGCGAATGATTAATTTTTTTGAAAAAAAAAAAGTGTTTTTGGGTTAATTCGTTTTATTATTAGATTTTAGAGAGTTGGATCAGAAGGGGAAGCTAAAATAAAGTTGCAGAGTGTTGACTCCAAATCGTAAATATAAAATTGTTAAAGAGGGGTCGAGGCGATATCCTTAGTTACTATATCGGATAAACCCGAGCTTGTGATTGCATTTTGATAGTTTTAATCAATTATACTTTGTTTTATACATTGTTTTATACTTTTAATTTACCGTTCAATACATTTTACGCCATGTATTTGATCAAATACCACAAGTTTTGTTTTACATTGATTCTAATTTATATTTATTTTCTAGACATCTATATACTACTAAAAGTCAAGTTTGTTTACATGTTTGTGTATTTTTTATTTATTTTTTGTTGTTTTTTTGTTTGTCTGTTTGGGTTTTGAGAATTTTGAAAGTTGAATACGTTCCTCTTCCGGTTACCGGAAATCGCTGAAAAGTTACTACATAACAACACATTTGTTTGCACGATTACAATATATCCTATATACTTCGTATACAATTAAGTAAAAAAAAACGGAGTTTTGCACACCTAAATAAAACTTTACAAACAAAGTGTATCTCTTTCATTTAACAGCATCCGTGTTGAAGGGGGAATATAAATTTCATGTTTTTATTTCTTACATTTTTAAAACGCTGTAGGCCTCATAGAATATCTTGTTATACAAAAAGTCTTATACAAGCAATATACAGTACTTATAGCTTATAGCTTACTAATTACTATATATTTATATTTCATATCTTATATCTCTTTGCTAAGTTACTAATAAAAGGTTATTTTCTTTTATATTTATCAGTGCAGGGTAAGTTACGGTTTAAATGTTTTTTTTGTTCATTGTACTATAATAATTCCAACGACAAGTTGAACAAACGATAGTTAGATTCGATTACATTCACGACCTGATCCTAAGACAACAAGAACAATTCGACCTAAACTTTTTCTCCGGAAACAACGATCCTACAGTTAAACTTCACATTCTTGCTTACCGCGTCATATCTTCCTTTATTCAACAATTGTCCACAACAATATTTTTTCGCACCTACATGCCTAATCAAACACACATTATAACATTAGTCGCTACGAAAGGGCTTCACATTTCATACTATTATTTTGGGCGTTCCACTACCAATAGTCACTGGTCACAGACAACTCGAATATAATAGACGGGATACTTATTTCTTTATGGGATTTCGGGTTTACTCAACATTGCTAACAATTTCAAGTTAGGATCCAAGTAGACTGCTCATTCAGACTCCCTTCCTCAACAACAGCATGTTATGTTCGCGTTTATATTTGCATTATTTTCTGAGTAATTGTTTGCGTTTGTGCGTGTGTTGGAGTTTGTGTATTCGTTTGTGTTCTTGTTTGTGTTTGTGTTTCCATTTGGTTTGATTGTGATTGATTGTAGTGAGAGTTAGTTTATAGTTAAGGTTATGTGTGATATACTTAACCGTAAGTATGTGATTATTGACACTTAATTGGAAAAGCAATACTATTCCTAAACCCTGGCAATGCCGGGTATATGCAACTTTATTAGCACACAAGTCACTGCCCTTTACAAATAATTTTTACCTCAAATGCCAGTGCAGGGACTGGCCGGGACGGCTAGTTTATAAAAAAATATAAAAACCCAATATGCCAATGAAGATTAAATTTAATTACACTTGTATGCGGTCTAATGAAAAAGTTATTTTTGTACTTTAGCTTAATTCTTTTGTAAAAAAAAAATAATGTTTTAAAATCGATGTTGTCTTTCAGATTCTGCTGGTCTTTTCAATTAATGAGAAGAGCAGATTTTCTTTACCAGATTTATATATTTTAAAAATTGCACATCTTGTTTCAAGTGTTACATAAATTGATCTTATTTTTAAAAGAGTCACGCCAACTTTAACAATGGGCAAAGTATATAAAAGGCCCAATTGCATTACTAAAAATCTAGAAAGATTACTACTAGAAGATGAATTGTTGGATTTTACTGTAGAAGTTGAAGATGTTAAGGTTCGGTGTCACCGAGTTGTTCTGGCAGAGTCTTCAGATTTCTTTAGAGCACTGTTACGGTGTTAAATGAAGGAAGCAAATGATGGATGTGTTACACTAAATGGAATGTCAGAACCAACATTTCAACATATTTTAAAGTCACTTTATTCCGGAACAGTTGTTTTAATGTTAGACAATTTTATAGACGTGTGGAAAGAGTTGGATCAGCTACAGGTAGAATTTATGATAGCAGATTGTGAAAAATTTGCCTTAAAAGTAATGTCAGAACACAACCTTGAGAACATATGGAAGTTGGCGGACAAGTTACAGAAACAAGAGATCATAACGAAATGTGAGGAATTTGCTCTGAACGTTTTATCTCTTAAGAACTTTGAAAGCACTTTTAAAACAGCAAAACCCGTAGAATCCAGAAAAGTAATGGATGCTTGTAAAAGTTTTATGTTAAAAAACTGATTGTGTAAGTAGGATGATTTCTATTATGGAACTTCGTTTTGAAGAGTTTCTGAGTTTGATTGAGAGTCGGGATCTTAATGTGAGTTCGGAAGATACAGTTCTAGAGACGGTGATAAAATGGGTTGAGTATGTGCCAGAAAACGATGTGGAATTTGTTATCGACAAAATGAGCTTAAGCGATTTCCAATTTGAGAGAGGTAATGATCAAAGTACTGAAGAAAAATCGGTTGAAGATTCCGATGATAGTTATCATGACAGATATACTTAAAATGTTTCCTATACAGCGGAATCCAAAAGTTGAAGAATTTACTAAGCTTCCAGATACAATAAAATTACAACGTGCTATAAATTATCATAGGATGATTCTGATTTTCAGTTCTGTTACCGTCAATGGTGAAGAGAAGACTGCAGTTCATCAGCTGAACATTCTAACCAAGGAGTTAACAGAATTAGAACAATTGAATGGACCAGCGGAACAGATAATAAGTTTCAGTGATGACAACAATACCTATGTACTACAAACAACTGGAGATTTGTGTAGAATTAATTGTTTTGCTGGACAAGTAACATTCAAATGGTTGGGAAGATTATGGGATAGAAAGAGAAAACTGCACGGTGCTTTGACATACAAACAAAAGCTAATTATTTTTGGTCCAATGAATGAACCAGCGGAACAGAAACGTGTATCTCAGTTTGAAGGGTATTTTCACGACATACAGTACTGGGGCAATAACTCTCCCTGTTCGAATTTTATTCCAGTTGTTCTCCCAAAAAATATTATGTTGCCAATTGAAAAGAAATAATAGGTAATGTGTTGCTTTTCTATAAATTTTTGTAATGTAAAACATTCGTTGAATAAAATGTATAAACACAACACAGACTTTAAATCGATAAGCCTATTCCGCAATTTTTTTCCACCAATCTTCCTTTTAAATTACAGATATTGTATTTTGCATATTGAAAAACTTATTTTCTTTTATGTATTAAGTTTATCGATGCGTATACAAGAAAGTGTTTAAAATCAGATGCAATATTAGCAATTTACCAATGCGATTTATTATTTTGTATCTTTAAAAAAAAAACTAAACAAAAACACACTCTTTGAATGGAAGAATACAATAGGTTTCAAAGTGTAATAAGAACAATAGAAAATGTATACTGGAAAAGTTATTTTAACGTTAGAGATTTTTATGGACATATTGAAGGTGGTGGATCAACTACGAATAGAATTTATGGAACGAGATTGTGAACACTTTGTATTAAAAGTATTGTCAGAGGATAACCAGATTTCAATATGGACGTATGCGGACAAGCTAATGAAATAGGAAATTATGAAACAAAAATGGGTTTTATTTGTAAAGATTCTTATTTAGATAATTTAGAAAGTTATGATAGTGATACAAGTATCTGATGACAACGCAGAATGTATTTACGTAGCAACATGTGGTAATACAGGCGAGAATAACACACTTCATGCTGAAATTAAAGGAAACTACTCACATTCCTCAATTGAAGCATTAAAAGAACTACCTAATACGTCTAAAACAAACAAAAGAATCTTCCAGTTACCAAATCTATTAGAGCCTGTTAGAACGTCATTAGTGAGTACTTCACTTTTGGAAAATTTCCGAAATCATCAATTGGTAATTATTATTAAATTTGTTCGAATACTTATAATGGATGCTATATTGTATGAGACAACACACTATAACCAAAGGCAGTTGCGAACATCTGCCATACATCATGCCTGTAGTGAATTTGAACACTGTGGCGCTTTTGTATAATGGTTATAAATTTTTCAAATTAGCCGCATTTGATGGAAAACTTTACACGTGTGTGAAAGACAATAAATATCCCAGGAACAATACTTTAGTTGTTTTTTATTCTCATTTGTATGCTGCGGGTGTGAAATATCAATATGAAGCAACCGGGTCTACTACAGATTCCCAAAAGACCCTTTGCCCGAAGGCCGATTTCCCGAATGGACACTTGTCCGATTGCGACAAATGCCCGAATGGACATAGTTTATATTTTGCAAAATTTCAAATTTAAATTGATTGCGAATGATTTTTTGGTAATATATAATATTAACATTTT